ACAGTACATGATGTAGACAGAGAAATGGTGAAGATACAACAAACTGAAACAGCGATAATAAGTAATATAAACAAATTGGAAAGTAAAGCAAATCGAGTAGGTAAATTGATTAATGAAATGGAAGTTAGACAAATAATGAATGAGCAAACTTGAGGAATTAAATGTTTTGTTAACACAACATTCATTTCAAACTCACAATCTAGTAGCAATAGTAAATACAGCACAAGTAGGTCATATGCATTCTAGCATTATTTCGGCGACAAATTTTTTAGCAGAGTTACAACAAGTGAGAATACAATTAGATTTGAGAGAGAACTTCGCTGAACAAGTCACAATACAGAATGTACATAAGTTAATGAAAATGAGTAGCTTACAAGTAATAAGAGTAGCAGATACATTGATGTTAATAATAGCCATTCCGATAGTCGATACAAGAGAATACCGCCAATACAAGTCAATACCATTGCCTATAAAACAGAAAAAGTTATTATATGCGTTAATTCAACCAACAAACAAGGTTAAAAACCTCTTAAAAGAGGCAGGAGGCTGATTGGTCTGAAGGAAGTTATTAGGTCCGGAGGTTTATTAGGTTTAGGGAACATTATAATTGTAGAAAATTTCCAGACTAGAGGAAAATAGGAGAGTCTTAGTGTTGCGTTGAAAATGTGAGTTAAGTGGATAATGGCTCTTTTTGGAAGGCATCTAGCGACTCAGCAGTTATCAGGTCGTAGCCAGGAGATTTTTTCAGTGAATAGTGCAGTAGAGAATATTTTACATCGTTTTTTGTGAAGGGTTTGACTGCTAGAGTAAGTGGAAGAGGGGAATCAAGAAAGGTTTCTACCGTATTCATATTATTAGCATTAAATACGTCTGGATGAGGCTGAGATGTGGCCGAAAGATGCGCTTTAAACAGTTCGGCTTTTTCTGAGTCAGAGGAAGCCAGAGATCCATCAGGTTTTTTTATTGGAAGATTCTGAGTTTTGTAATTAAGTGCATGTTTTGTGGACCTCCAGAAAGAGCCGTCTTTGGATAAGAGATTGATGAGATGACTTTCGAAATCTTTAGTTTTAATTTTTATTAGCATTTTTTTGAGAGAGTTAGCTAGATGATTGTAGGCGTGTTTATGTGAGAGGAGGCGCGTGCGTTGATATAACGCTCTGGTCTTGCGTTTTTCGACTATTTTCGTTCGAATGATCTCTGGAAGAGGTTTATGTATCAGTGGATTTGTATCATAGTTTGTTGCTGACCAGGTAGCTGACTGTATAATGGTAGTTAGACTATTTACGGCTGAATCAATATCAGTTGGGGTTTTTAGTTTGGTATTTAATTTAATATCTTCGTTTACGAGGTCATGAAATTTATGGTCTGTAGTATAATTGAAAAGCTTTGGGGGGCCTTGCCAGAGTGGGGGAGTGGTATTGAGGGTTAGCATTACAGACGAGTGGTCAGAGTTTAAATCTAAGAAATTTGTAGTGTTGTAGTGAAGACAATTCGGAATTTTTGAAACAAAGATGTCCAGTATATCTGGATTTTTTTTAGTGGAGGTTGGCCAGTATGTTGGTCCGGGAGGGGCGAGAACTTTGAAATGTTTGGAAGTAGAAAAGTTGTAAAGGACTAAACCCCTAGGATTATTAGTACGGCATCCCCATGACTAGTGCTTGGCGTTGAAATCGCCGCCTATGATAAAATTGTTTTTAAATGTGTCAAAGTATTCAGAAAATTTTGAGTTTGTAATATTGTGTTTTGGAGGTGAGTATAATGCTGCAATATGGATTGGAATATTGTTTAGGTTAAGTAAAATGGCACAGGATTGAATATAATCAAGACTAAAAATAGGAAGTGGTTTAAATATTATTGACGATTTAATAAAGATAGCAACACCTCCATGTGCGGTGTTGTCAGGATGGTTTGTTTTAATCAGTTTGTAGCCTGGAATATAGACAGAAGTATACTTAGTGAAATGTGTTTCAGTAATTAAGGCGATGTCAATACGTTTATTGTTAAGGACAGTTTCAAGTTCGTGAACGTGGTTTCTTAGGCCATTTGCAATGAATAGGCAAATTATTAATGTTTTTTCGGTGACTGAATTATTTGTGTTGTTACTAAACATTTTAATTATTTAATAGGTTGGATAGACTAGAGATTACTTTAACAAGAATTTCCATAAGTGGGTCAATAATAGTTTTAAAGTTGGCAAGAAAGCCTGTTAACATTTTATTTATGTCTGGGACATGTTCTGAACCAGCAGGGGGTAAGGTGTGATCGAAGGGAGTATTTGACGTGGCCTGAGCGTAAGTTTGTGTTTGAGTTGGTTGTTGTTTATCAGAATTGTTTTTAGATGGGTGACTTCCTTGTACATTTATAGTTTTAGGAAAGGTATTAACATGCAAAAAATTACTTGTTGAGTTGAGTCGTTTTCTTCGTTGAAGATCCTTATGAATTGTACAGCCTCTGTAGTTAGCAGGATGATTGCCAGAGCAGAGGGCGCATTTTGGAGGGACGTCGCGTGTATTGGGACAGTCAGGTGACAGATGATCGGCTCCGCATCGAACACATCTGGGTTGATAACCACAGTAAGCTTTGGTGTGCCCGTATTGTTGGCAGTTATAGCATTAACTTATTATTTTTGGTTTGTACGGTTCTTCGATTTTGATTTTAGTGTGGAGAAAGGAGGTCAATTGAAAAATTTCTTTTGACCTATGTGTTGGTTCGAGGTCGACAAAGAACAGAGGAAGGCGATTTTTGTTCACTCTATGTAGGACGTTGGTGACTTGTCTTACTTCAAATAGGCGTATTTGAAGTTCATCTTTGATTAGGTCTAGTGGTGTGGAGGGGTGAAGGTTACGGATAACTACTCTGAGTGGTTTGTCTTCTTTTAACTGGTACGTATGGAACTCAGCTTCTTCTGCTTTGAGGTAACGAACAAGGGCTCTGTATGCCGCAGGGGTTGAAGTTTGAATTTTTAAACTATCATTTGATGACTTGCAGATTAAGTTATCGACGCCGATTTCTTCGATTAGAACCGAGCAAAGGCCAGGGAAATCTATTACGTTTTTAATAAAGATTGGAGGAGGGGGTTTGAATACTTCATCAACTTCGTCAGTTTCAGCACAATCCAGAGGATTGGCCTCATTTGGCAGTTTTTGAGAAGGTTCATCTTGAGAAAGTGATTGAAAGCGGTTGGGTGTGGCGAAGATTTTTTTCTTTTTTTTTTTCTGATTAGGTGCAATGGGAGATGACGGATTGGATGTTGCATTTGATGAACTGGATAGATTACGTTTGTTTGTTTGAGTTGTCCAGCCAGTATCTGAGGTGTTCGTAATTGTGTCCATTTGAGACGATTCGTTCACACTCATTTGTGCGTGATTTTGAATAGATATTGTAGTGTGTTTAGTTGAGGATTTTATGGATTTATCATTTTTATTAGTAATGATATTTTTAATTTTAGTTAGATTTGAATTTAGCATAATTGGTAATTAAGCTAACGAGTGTAGCGAACCCGAGATAAGACAACGCGCGAACGCGTCGACGTAATCGACGATCGATGGTTTTTTTTTTATAGGTTATTTAGATGCAATTGTTATACGTGTGCGTTAAACTGAAGTAGAATTAGATATGAAACACAAAACACTAGTGAGTGTGAGGATAAAATAGTGTTCTGAACGAGAGAAGAGTAAAAAAAAATTAAAAAAAACACTCAGAAAAATACAACATTGTGACACTAATTGCGATAAGGGACGAGCGAAGTGCGTGCGTAGCGAACGACTTCCACCGCGGGACTGAAAAATTAAATTTAAAATTAAAATATAGATTACCGTATATTTGGTACTTCTTAAATTTTCAAAGTGTATCTTGTATCTTATATATAGAATATAGATAGCGAGGGGTAAATACCTGACAGAAGTTTTGTACACCAGATTACTGATAAATTGTCACTGTCTTTCTAATAAGTATTAAAATAAAAGGTTTGAAATAACTATAATTTAAACTCTAGAGTTAAATGGGTCAGTTATTTAGATCCTACTAAATAATGTTTAAATAAAAATATAAATTACAATTGGTACTCACCTTAATATTCTCTATGATCGCAAGTTTGGGTCTTATGAGTTCAATGAGAATCTCTTTTTCGGAGTCAGAAACATTCTTACTTCTCTTTTTTATGGAAGACATTTCAAATTTACAACTGCCTTGTAATTATTATTAAAATAATAATTAATAATTATTAATAAAATATTTTCTACTATGTGTAAAATATAAAAAAGATAACAATTAACACTGATAACAATAAAAATATAATATAATTTTTTGTAATCATGGTATCAAAACCTTGGTTAGAGTAGTCAGTAGTACCATACAATTTTAAATCATTGTTTGTGCAACAGTGCAGCACCAATAAAGTTATTTATCCGACTGTTTATTGAACCGTTATCGCAGCTTATCGTACTCTTTTTATCGATCGTTTGTGCAACCGGGCATTAATATTGTATTATAAGATTAAAAAATAAATTATGAGCGCTTTGGTTTAGGCTTTAAACCACTCTATAGACTATAGTATTAATAAATTAATTAAAAACTAGGTATGTGTACAAAAATTCAATGCAAGCAGCATGCAGCAGTATGCTTTGAGGTTCTATAATATTAAAGTGCCTATCTATTATATAAAATAAATTTAATAACCGGCAACGATTGTATGCTTTTGGCGAATAATAATGCAAAGTTAAAGCGAATTCCTTCATTTCCTGCGTGTATCTTCCACCTGTTGATTTATTGTGATTTTTTGATTCATTATTAAACAACTCCAAAACATTACTTAGGTACCAAAATGGGCAAAATAATAATTCAAAAAAAGCAATTTACCAAGCTAAGCATAAAAAAAAATCAAAACTATAAAAACTTAAATTATAGGTAGGTACCATTAAAATTATTTATAATAATATTTTGTTGCTCAGAATCAATATGACCATCATTTTTCAAATTGTTGACCAAATCTTTTAAATTATCTACTTTTTTTGTGTCCTGCGTAACTTTTGATGGAGATATTTAATTTTCCTTTTTAATTTTAATTCACTGGTATATGAATCAGATGTTTGTACTTCTTTATCACAATAATTAGAGTTTTCAGCTAAATTTTCAGCTATGGAACCATTTGAACCACAAATGGGTTCAACTGGTTCAAGAATAGGTTCACAAATAGGTTCAAGAATGGGTTCGTCTAAAATGTTATAACTGATAATATTTATTATTGCAACATTAATACATTTGTTATTATTACATTGTTGCATTTTTTTTAAAAATTTTATGTCATAAAAAAAGTATCCATAGGCATAGGCGTAAAAAAGAGGAGAGACTAGGGAGGCTCCCTAGCCTAAGGCCCCTCTCAAAAAAAAAATATTCAGACAAAACTTATCAAGCAATCAATAAATGATTAAAATACAAAATTTTTTATATAGTCCTCCCCTAAGTCAAAAACAGTATTAAGCCTATGCCCATAGGTACCTAAATCAAATTTAGAATTTAATTTAATGTATTTTGAAATACACTGGTACTTACCAATACGCAATTGATTTCTCTGAGCTGGTAATTTTCTTATTTTTATGGGTTTAGGTTGTAAATAAGATGGAAAAGTCTTAAAAATAGATGGCACAGAATCAATTTTTAACAATGGTCTATCAGAATCAGGTCTATGTACATAATCTTCTTCAGTGAAATGTTCACTACAAACTCTACTCCATTGTGTAGGTTTGAAGTTTTTTCTTTTCGAAGCATTTACCCATTTATCAAGTAAAATATTGTTCTTTAAGGGGAAACTGAAAATTTTAAAAATGTGTTAACAATAAAATGTATTAAACACATACTCTTAATAAGAAAAAATATCTTGATATTTTAAAAAGTTAGTAAAGTACCCACTTAAAAAAGTGTATTGGTTGGCCCTTTATGTATCTATTAGAACAACCATAATCTGAACAGGATACAACCATAATGATGGAAAATTACAAATAAATTATAAACAAATTATTATGTAAGAACAAAATGCTTTAATGTAATTTCTCAAGTAATTTATTCTGTTTACTGCATAATTAACTATAAATATAAATATAACAATTATGCATTATAACAAATGTTTTGCCAACTGAAAACATGGCGTCCGATGCCTTCAACTGATAATCAATGCTTCAACTGATAATGGGAGTTCGCTATCTAGTATTATATCACAGATATAAAATACTAGATAGCTAACAAGCCATCAAATATTGAAGTTAGCCGCCATAAGCGTGTAGGTCAATGTTTACATAAATGCCTTATCAATACTGCGTGATAACATGATAGTATTCGGCGACCGACGTTCGCATTTCGCATTTTGCATTCTCTCATTAATGATACAAGTAAGTCACCAAGTATTCTTGATCCATCTATTATTAATATTTTTCTTACCCATGTAGGTAGTTACTAGCTGTTGATATAAATTAATTTATTATAAGGTATGTAAAAAACATTTTTTAAAAGAAATGCATATTTTTGTATATTTTATTAAATAACAACAGAATTACAAACCAAAGTAAAACAAAAAAGAAAAACAAAGTAAAAATATTGCATAAAATAGCATTGAACAAGTAATCAAATATACAATACATATTATTATTATATTAATATAATATGTAATGTTAAGTCAACGTTAATGGTGGTATACTATTTGCTGCCGAAATACCGTCCAGCTAATCAACACTATGCTTACTAATAGATCATTTAAAGTTCACATGAATGATAAAACTAGCAACTTTAGAACATTAAATAACGGCCTAGCGCAAGGCTCGGTATTAGCACCTCTATTATTTAATGTCTATATAGCCGACCTCCCATTGACTCACTCCATTAAATTCGCATACGCTGATGACCTAGCTATTGCAACTCAACACAAAGACCTCAATGAAACAGAAAGGATACTCACAGACAATCTCATTACTCTAGGTAACTACTTCCAAGCCTGGAGACTAAAACCTAACACCAGCAAAACAGAAGCGTCCTGTTTCCACCTCAACAATAAACTTGCTAGCGCTCAACTAGACATAACTTTCAACGGAGACGCTCTAAACCACAATTGCCACCCCAAATACCTTGGAATAACACTGGATCGCACACTCTCCTTCAAAACTCATCTCGAAAATACTGCCGCCAAACTTAACTCCAGAAATAATATAATACATAAACTCTGCAGTACATCTTGGGGTGCTTCGGATCACACTCTGCGATGCTCGGCTCTTGGTTTGGTCTACCCAGTAGCTGAATACTGCGCATCCGTCTGGCTAAATAGCGCTCATGTGGCAAAAGTAGACACCCAACTAAACACTACCATGAGATTAATATCTGGCACAATAAAATCGACACCTACTCACTGGCTCCCAACATTAACAGCAATTGCTCCCCCACCACTTCGCAGAGCGAGCGCCTTAGTTAAAGAGCTCTCAAAAATAAATCTCAATCATGAACTGCCCATTAATAATTTTATTGACGACGCGACCAAAACACGATTGAAGTCTAGAAAACCGACACCAAAAACAGCTAAGGACCTAATCAATGCAAACTTCGACATGATGACGCAATAGGAACAAACGTGGGCAGCCGCGGCAGAGAACGACAACATCCTATGTAACATATCACCAGGACATATACACAAAGGATTTGACCTACAGCGAAATCTGTGGTGCACACTTAATAGAATACGAACCTCACACGGTAGATGTGCAGATTCCTTGCACAAATGGGGCATGAGAGAATCACCAAAATGTGACTGCAGAGCAGAGAAGCAGACCATCTATCACATAGCATTTGTATGTCCTATCCACGCCTACCAAGGTCCCAGAATCGACTGCCTCACAACCCCTCCAAAATATATTAAATGGCTGGAGGAACTAGAACTAGATCTCTAATACCTTATCGTTACCTTATTAATATTACTCATATTTTCTCTTTTTTTTACTTGTTTATTTTTATTTTATTC